ATAGATAGGGTCTAGCTTTAATATCTATTTTGACCGGAGAGGTGACCTTTATTTCTATAGATAATCAGAAATAAGGCTTATCACATTTAAGGCCAAATTACATTTAAGACCAAATCATTTTTTTTTTTTTCAAATTGTGTATAGAACCTGCATTAGTTTCAACAAGTGTACATTAATGTGTTCAATAGTGGATGTATGAGGGGGATATCACACAAAACTACAACACCAAACTAGATGCTGAGGTACAACTTGGATTATAGATTAGAAACATAGAAGTTTCAAGACTACATAAATAAATTGTGCGTGACATTTTGGTAACTGCAGTACTTTTGTCTGAAGATGGTAACAACACTCTTACAGACACAAGGTAATAAAACCAAATCCAAATAAATAAATAGTGTATGACGTTTCGGTAACAGCATTGTTACTGAAATGTCACACACTATTTATTTATATGGATTTGGTCTTATTACCTTGTGTTTATAATCTACTAGCCGAATGACCCGGGCAACGCCCGTGTTTTACCCGATTGAATGTTTTGATTCAAATACTATTTGTTACAATTATAAATTGACGCCTTAAATAAATGCATATATTAGTTATAATAACTATAGCCTATGTGCTTTATCTGTCTATGTACTGTTGGCTTCCGTAGGCGTCTCTTACTGGGAAAAAGAAAGAGAAGATTCCATTTGGGTATTAACTAATATATGCATTTATTTAAGGAGCGACCCGCTCCAACACAATAGTTACAAAAACCAAAAAGCGAGTGGGGGGGGGCAAAGTCAAAAACAAAGTGTCTCGCGTAGTGGGCGGCGCCATCAAAGCCACATGATCGTAGCCAACCAATAGGAGAGCGCCATTCTAAAAAAAAAGCAAACGGTGACAGAGATGATGACGCTCATAACTGTATATAGAATAATCCAAATTGTGCTACCAACACTGTTACAGAAATGTCATGCATAATTTAGTTACAGTATAATCTCCTTAATATAACTGAATTCCATACCAGGCTTAATTTGACTTTTTTTTTTCAAACCCCTATAAGGCTATTTTATTTTATTTAACCAACTTTAATTTAACTGAAAATTCTAATTTTATAATTAAAAAAAAAAAAATGCTCCAATGATCCCCGATTCTTGCAAAAGTCCAACCCTACCACCGAGTGCAAGTAACCAAACGGGGGCTCTGGCACATTTGTAAGTGCAAAAGTTTAACTGATTTTCACATGTGGTGTACTTGCAGTAAAAGCAGTTACTAACTACCCACCATGATTATTATTTCCTGTACCACGAGTACTAGGGATAAATAAAAAAAGTGATTGAACTAGGTGGTGAAGTCATGCTCCGCAATAGCTCCTACCTTCTCTTGATTAAACTACTTTTTTTATCTCTCTTCTCTTCCTGCATTGTCACCAAAATTACATAATTTCCAGTCAGTGAAGTATGAGGCATTGTCCACCCACTTTGCTCTCTTTTTTTCCTTACCTTTGACAACTTAACGACTTGATGCGGAAAGACCCAATTGTTAGAATAAAAGCATTACTATTTCCACACACCAGTTTTAATCAGCGAAGATATATTAAAAATGCAAGCCCCCTCCCCCCCCCTTTTTTTTTTGCTTATCCCTAGTACACGTGGTATACAGGCCATGATAATCATGGTAGGTAAAGTAGGTGACAGCTTTTTTACTGTAAGTGCACCACATGTCTACACATGTGAAAAGCAGTTCGACTTTTGCACTTACAAATATGCCAAAGCCCCGTTTGGTTACTTGCACTCGCTGGAGGGGTTGGACTTTTGAAAGAATCGGGGGTCATTGGAGCATTCTTTTTTTTTTTTAATCAGGAAAAAGTGCCCAATGCGGAAATCAAACCTGGGTCGTGGTGGTGGAAAACTAATGGTTTAGACCATCCTTCCACCAACCCCCTATATTATCTTAAAATAGTTTGCTTTTAATAGAAATCCAGTTGTCATCATTCTTGAGTTGACAATAGTGAAGTCAAAACAAAGATGGATTATCAGGGAACTAACAGAACATAGTGACATACATCTCAGCAATGACTGTTGACAACCAGAATTGATTGCCCCAATCACTTTTTATTAAAAAAAAAAAAAATGCTTCAATGGTCCTTGATTCTTTAAAATCCTACTCCATTAATACACTGGTGTACAAAACTTAAGGAAGTTGTACCATTTCGCATGTTTATCAGGATTCAGACAACTCTGAAAGATAGTTGATATACAGTTGCCTTTATTGAAGACTAGATAACCAAGTGTGAAAAAAAATTTCCTGTCTCCTTAAAAAAAAAAAATAGACAACCGGCGACATCAAAGAATTTACACTTCTACAAATTATATCCATGAGTCCACCAAGTGAAATTCTCAACCTGCAACCCCAAAACACATTATTGACTGTATTGACTCATACATTGATGAGCTCTACTCTTCCCCGACAGACACCATTAAAAGTCTCAAGCTTTACAAGCTTGATACCCTAATATGATTGAGTGGAGATAAGAAAGAAGATGTCCATGAGTGTATCTTTTTTTAAAATAAAGGATGAATTTCTACAATAGTGAAATGAATATAAAAATAATTGTAGAAATTCATTCATTATTTTAAAAAAAGAAGATAAAAGTGTTTAATGTGTCCGTCCTTTACGTTATAAAATTTTGATCCCAAGTGATATAGAGTGAGGTTTGACTGTATGTTCCATGTTTATTTGGATCTGCCAGCCTTGTTACTTTGTCATCCTTCCATCTAAGTATCATTTCTCTTATGGGGTGGGTGGAAGGATGGTCTAAACCGTTGGTTTTTGATCGCTACGACCCAAGTTCGATTCCTTTATTGGGCAATTTTTTTCTGATTTAAAATAAGAATTCTCCATGGTCCCCGATTCTTGCAAAAGTCCAACCCCACCAGCGAGTGCAAATAACCAAGCAGGCTCTGGTACATTTGTAAGTGCAAAAGTTGAACTGCTTTTCACATATGTAGATATGTGGTGCACTTTTAGTAAAAGCAGTCGCCTACTAATAGCGACCATTATTATCATGGCCTGTACCACGTGTACTAGGGATAAGCAAAAAAAAAAAAAAAAACATTTCTCTCTGTCAGTTCTTTGTTAAGTTCAGTCCTTTGACACCTCTGAAGATGGCCACTGTTGTCATCTATCTTTTGCTCTTGAGGTTTACAGGTTTTTCCCTTATAATTCACTTCCCTTATTATATCTTGTAAGTCCTTATACCACAAGACATTTGGTCCATCCATCTTCCTCTCTTGATCACTTCTATTGTACAACATATATTCCAAAAGGTAGAATCTCTCAATGGTAACAAGGCCAACTAAGTATTTTCTATAGGTGAGGTTTTTAATAACAGTGTGTTGCTATCATTTTCTTAGTACCTATACTATTTAGTACTAAATCTTCTTAGTACATCTTGAGTACTAAGTAATATATTTTTTAGTATTCTAGCCTTCTTATCTCCACTCAATCATATTAGGGTATCAAGCTTGTAGAGCTTGTTGATGGTGTCTGCTGAGGATGAGTTATTTTTTTTATATTATCCCATTGTATAATTATACAAGGTCATGGTGACTATATTCAAATTCACAATCTTGGTAGGGTTGGAATAGAGGTCCTGTCATGAGGCTTCCATACATTCCAAGAGGTGGTCTGGTGAGACCTCTCTGGTCCTGCAGATGGTGTATTGTGGGAAGGTCTTTACACCATCCTGGAAGAGGAGTGGTCTTGTATGACCAGTTTTGAGCTTGGAGATATAGGTTGCTGCCTGTCGGTTCATCTCACATTCTAGAATAGCTCTAGGCTTTTGGTTCAGGTACCAATGAGGGGATGTCGACTCCTGTATTTTTGTTTGTATGTTTCTTTTTTTTTTGTGTGCGTTTGAAAAGGTCGAAATCAAGGTCTAAGTTGGGTTTTGCTGCTGATTTTGCAATTGCATCCGCTGTGTCATTGCCTTTCAGTCCTATGTGGGATGGGATCCACTGGAAGGTGATTTGTGTGTCCCTGTGAAGCTTGTCTAAATTCAGAGCAATCTTCCTCAGGGACATTTTAGAGCTGGTGTAACAATTTTTTATGGCTTGTATAAAATCCTTGATGGGTAAAATGAGCTGCTGCTGTTGTTGGTGGCTATCCAGGGGGCACTGTATGACAGTCAGACTTTGCCCTCCTGATTGATGAGTAGAGCTCATCAATGGATGAGTCACTAGTCACCAGTACTCTAAACTAAGTGTATTGGGAGTAATGCTGTTACCCAAACCTCATCTAAGGAATACTTATCTGGTTTTGGTCTCAATACCTTGGTATTCTTATCTCCAATCCCCAAATTGTACCCTGCCATTATAACCGTTCCAATAGATTAGATTGAACCCCCCCAGTATGACATAATCAGCACATTCCACCACCACATACGTGGACAGATAAGTTCTCTCTCAGATAAGATAACATCCCCCCACTGTATATAACACTCAGCTAAACCTTCAATTATTTTCTTATCCAGAATGTGGATCAGTGTTTTTATATCCTTAGTGTGTGGAACTGCTTATACAATAATGATATTAACACTTTCCTCTATACCTTTTTGTCATATACTCCTATAGAAGGGTTTATATTACCCAAAAGCTTGAGAGAATATATAACTAAAATAGGAAACTTATCCTCAGAAGCCTTTTTTTTTTCTTATTATTAATACTTTCAATAAACAATACTTAAAATTATACCGCATAAGTTTCTTTTCTATGATAAATCAATATTTATTTTAAAGAGAAATATTTACTATTTCTAAATTTTTGAATGAAGTATGAGAGGGTGAAAATATGAAGAGTAATGGCGAACAGGAAAAATAAAAGTGTCCAGGGGCAGGAATCGAACCCACAACCTTCTGCGGTATAATTTTAAGTATTGTTTATAATCACACGCCGCAGTCCTTTATAATGTATTATAAGTTACTTTAAGTATTATTTACGAACGGAGAAATAACATCCAAGGTAGCCTAGTGGACATGGCACCTGCCCGGTAAGCAGAAGGTTGTGGGTTCGATTCCCGCCCCTGGACACTTTTATTTTTCCCGTTCGCCATTACTCTTCATATTTTCACCCTCTCATACTTCATTCAAAAAAGTTAGAAAAAGTAAATATTTCTCTTTAAAATAAATATTGATTTATCATAGAAAAGAAACTTATGCGGTATAATTTTAAGTATTGTTTATAATCACACGCCGCAGTCCTTTATAAATACTTTCAATATTCAACCAGGTATATATAGGATGGTTCAGTGGTACATATGCTAAAATTGGAATGAAACAGAGAAGATTAGCCTGGCCCCTGTGCAAGGATGACACGCAAAATCGTGAAATGTTCCATATACAGGGTGGTTTGGAAGTTCAATGAACAGTAGAGTGGGATCAGGGGAAACCTCTCTGCAGAGGTAGTAGCATGACTGAATAAGTTCACTGGTAGCAGGAATTGGTTATATCTGGCATGTATAGGATTGTCCAATAAACCAACATAAATCTCTAAAGATATAAAAAAATAAAACACAGAGTGATGTTTCAATTACGGCTATACTTTCTAAGAGGCCAACCACCCTATATTTCAATCCAAAGTGACCACTTTATGGAGTTTGTACGTAGATCTATTTCAGTGAAAATTGATTGTGTGCGCGCGCACCCAGGGAAAAGTGAAGGACTTTTTTGAGAGGATAGTCATCTTAGATTTTAAATAATTTTATTGACATTTGTCAAAGCCTACACACTAAATGGGAATCTATAAAAGAGACAATAATATACACTGAGGAGGCTTTCCAAACAATGAAGAGTTCTCCTCCAGACAATCAGGGGCCTGTGTCCCTCACTCCAAGGCTCAGGAGAAATTTGTAGCCTTGGGTGAGTTGGCATTATCCATCCCTTGCCAAAAGATCCATTCCTGCATCCTCTTTCAGCCAATTTTTAATTTAAGACCAGTCAGGAGACCTTCAATTTTCAGTTTTAAATCCATTTTTCTCTTATTTCAGTCGTTAACATTCTAGAATTGTATTTAGGGCCTTGAAACCATAAAATCTTGCTCTCAAATGTAAGTTGGTCATGAAACTAGTAGGTCTTACTTAAATTGATAATAGACAGTAGAGGGTTGCCTTTGGGGGTTGCCTTATAGGATTCATATTGAGCTCTTTGTCTTATCTTTTCACACCTAAACAAAAAAACAAAAAAAAAATCCCCACAACCCTTAAGTCTCACTTGACAATTACAAGTGAAGCTCTCACACATCCATTTGGGAAGTAGACTATCCTCTTTCTCTACTTCAAATAGCCTTCCAGAAGCCCACACACAAAGAGAGAGAGAAATCAACAAAATATATTTAAACGGAATCCTAAAAATAACTTTTAAGAAAGAACTTTTAGCAAAAAAATACGGTGTGAATTGATTTAAAAAAAAAAATCTCCATATCCTTTTATTTCTTTGTTCTTTCTTTCCACTGTATCTCAGAAATGGCTCGAGGTAAAAGAGATTCAAAGTTAAAGTGAAATAAGGGAGATAGATCTACTGGCACTAGAGTTTACTCTTCACCCCCTTCCTTCCATCACAAGGAACACAATTAAGCTCTAGAACAGGTTGTTGCTTTAATCAGCCATTACCTCTTCTTCCATTCTCCCTGCCTGCCTTTTGTGGCCTTGTTCTTTTCCAGGTCACCACTTCCTGCCTTTATTCCAACCTCTCTCTCTCATTATAATTAACTTAAGATCTCAGATGGAGATAGACTCTTTTGCCCCCTAGCTGAATACACTGGCCCATTTTTTCTTTCTCTCCCCATTCTTAGCTTGATATCATTTAAAATACTACACCATTTGGTTTATCGGCAACATTCACAGGATAACTAGAACAAATTAAAAAAAAAGGCTCTTACTCTACAACCTGCCTATAGCAGGGGACTGAGGAAGATCATGAAAATGATGATGATTTAAATAGTGCAAAGAACATACAGAATTTGGTGCTTAGATCCAATGTACTTTTTTGAAACCTCTTCCCTCTCCAAAATAAGAATCTTCTCAAGGAACCATTCTGTTACACTACTAATTAAGTACTGCCATCTTGCCTGCTTGTTCCAGATGGTTGGATTCTTCTATGTAGGACAACTTTTCTTGAGTCTTTTTTTTTTTTTTCTTCAAAGTACGGAGTCTTTAATCAGGACATTTGGAGGATCAGATGTAGAAAAAGGTAGCTATTTCTGGAAAAGTGCTGGGAATGAAAAATTCACATTTTAGATTGCGCGAGTGAAAATTATCAAAAAGGTAATAAAGATTAAATAAGTTAACTGGGTGATGTGATTATAGCCTTCTAAATGAGATAAGTTTCAGGACATGTAGTCACTATTAGAAGATTGATCGTACTGAAGGGATTTACACTATGTAGAATGTGAGGCGGTAGACCAAGGTCTGAGAGCATGGTCTGGGATTAGAAGATACAAAGAGATGAATTGTGTAGAATGGGATTCTATATGATGTCTGCACTACATGTTTCTGTAGACACTACAGTAGAACCTCCACTCAAAGACACTCCTGCTAGAGGACACCTCTCTACAAAGGACAGTTTTCATTTACAAAATTAGCTTTTTTACTATTTAACAACTCTCCAGTAAAAGGACACCTCTCCCTAAAGGACACTTTGGCTCTGCAATTAGTTGTCCTTTATAGGGAGATAGTTCTACTGTATTACTACTATATATTGTAGTACAATTAAGTTACATAAGAGGGGGGGACTGATGGTCTTGGTGAGGAATTGTGTAAACTGTTGATTTTTGTAAAAACACAACCTGGGAGCACATCTTAACACCAGGCCCTTATTTCAGTAGAAAAATAATAGTGCTTCAATTGGCCACCGATTCTTTCAAAAGTATAACCCTACTAGTGAGAGTGTAAGCACCCAAAGGGGGTTCTAGTGAACTACAGCTGTAAATACACTGATGGACAAAACTTAAGAAAGTTGTGCCTTTTAGCATGTATATCAGGATTTAGATATACTCTGAAAGATATTTGTTTCACAGTGACCTTTATTGAAGACACAAGGTAACCAAGTGTGAACAAAATTGCCTCCTTAACAAAAAATAGACGAATGGCAAAATCAAAGTTAAACGCTTAATAGTTATTGCTGTCAAAACATGCTGTTATATTTTTTTGTATTCAGTCTTTTGTCTGATGATGGTAATATCACAGAAGTTTCATCACATGTATTAATACATGCAGAGAACAAATGCTGTTCTGTTGTTCAGAAACCAATCTCCAGATAGATTAAAATAATAACACTCCCTGCAGGGTTATTGTGCTATTTGTTCCAAATTGTCATTTTTGATATACTCTCTATTGACAGCCCAGTTTAGTCTTGTTCTAACAAAGCTTTATAGACTATAGTGACAATGAACAGCCAGCTTTTCCCACCTCTATTGATTTCCAGCTTGAACCTCAGCTATGTATTCTAAATGGCTTTTTAAAAATTAGTTACACTTATGGACAAAACTTGAGGAAGTGAAAAGTCTGTTGCTGGACAACTATTTTTTTGAAGGAGACAGAAGCAATTTTGTACATACTTGGTTTCTTGTTTACAATGTCACTGTAATATCTTTCAGAGTTATTGTCTGAATCTCAATATACATGCTAAAAGGTACAACTTCCTTAAGTTTTGTCCATGGGTGCAATTTTTATCTTGAAAGAACTAGTGGGGACTTCAAAAAAGTTAAGCATTTTGGGTTAAATATCCTAAATTATTGCTATTTGCTAATGGTATAATTAAAAAAAAAAAGTATTTGTTGATTGGTTATAATGTTTGGCTTTACACTATTTGTGTACCCCACTGAGATGTGAATCTAATATAGAGACAAAAGAGGTTGTAAAACAAAGGTTGATTCAAAGTTTGGATAACTTATCAAGGTTACCTTGATAATTGCAGGTGGGCAAGGCAGGATAAATATTGCTTGACTCGTACATTTGCCTCTCTGTGCACATAGCTTTTGTTCTTATGCACAGGACATCAATGAAATATATCCACAATACAGTCTACAAATCTTCCAAAACATCACCCAAACAGAACACCTATTCAAAAACAACAACAAAAGGCTTTATTAAGACATTTTAGTCTTATACAGATTCTCCAAGCAGAAATGTAAGGGTCATGCAGGAATAATAGTAATAATACCAGTAATAAGCATTGTTATTATTATAATTTTTAAACAAATCACATATAATGGTAATATGAAATTTATATACAGGAAAACTTAATCAAGACAATCAAGCTAATAAATAGATTAATCTAGTTAAATTGGAGGAAAATAAATTTCTTATACCTGACTTTACCCCAGAGTCTCTGCAAGTAAAAAAAAACACCTATCTAAAACCAAAAACACCTATGTAAAACTGAAAGACTTGTCCTCGAAGCATTGTATAATTTCCAATAAATACAATAGCATAACAGTTATAATACTTTGATCACACTCAGAATCAAAAACAACAAACAACACAAACAAATAATCATTTTTTCATATTCGATATTCCTGTAGAAGGGTTGTTATACCTGAATGTGTTGGTAATATAAGAAGACACTTGGAGACTTGTTGTTGATTCTGACAATAGCATAAACAGGACAATTAACCTACCATTCCAATACTGTTATATTAAATACTACCCGGCCAGAGAAACAGCACATTAATACAAATACTTTTTTAAGTACAAGATACACATAGAAGACCAAAAACATCAATAGAGAAACTTTATTTTACTATTTAAAAAGTAGCCTAGGCCTTTTGAAAGGCGTGACCCAAATGATTGTCTTTTGTATTAATAATTTTTTTTTTTGTACGTAGTGTTTTCATAAATGTTCAAAACGTCATAAATGTGCTTTATAAAATCCCATTATCAAAAAATCATTACGTATCCCTAATAAAGAAAGAAGGAAAGAAAGCATACTAATAGCATATGCTCTAACCTTTCTCTCCAACAAAGCACATTTAAGAAACCAAATAGGCGAGAAGAGAAACTGTCCCAACCCCCGAACAGAATGAGGCAGGGCT